TGTCCTCAAGGACACATGGCACAGTGGATAAAGGCATTGGTTAGATCTAGTGACTGTTCAATACCTGGTTAAGGCGGTGGAGAACTTGGAGAGGGAAATTAGCAGGAGATAACTGACATCCATTAAACATGGCACATGGAATTAAAACAGTCTACCCCAGTGAGCGAAATAGAGGGTTCAGTTTGACATTCCAACCACCTGAAGAAGGCTGGAGTGTACAATGGCCAAAATATTGTAATAAATATGCCGACAAAGATGAGGACAATAATCTGAATAATATAAATAGTGTACATAATACTTCATCTCAGAAATATAGACAGATACAGAATTAATTTGAATTCAAATATAGCTTTGTGTTGAGTTTCTATATATGAATGTCTTAAACCTTTCCATTATACAGATCACCAGAACATCTACAAAAGTAGGATTATTATATTCCATTTATGTCAGTCAGTAATGTGCCTTGCATGATACACAGGCGATCATGTATCTTTCGATACGTGACTGGGAAGGCAGATTTTTTACCGCAGTAGGTTGCCATTTCTTTCTGCTGTAGACCAGTTACCACCCAAGGCTATAGAACCCAGTCTGTCCTGCTATTTATCCATTGTTGGGGGCGAGAAGAAGAGGATTCATACCTTTTCCAAGGGTATTAGCACATAAGTGAATATAATGGATTCAAAATGGAATTTGAATTCGGCTCTCCAATTCCTCAATCCGAGCCACTATCCATTACTCCACCGTGCCTCCCAGGTAACTATTACTAGTATAATAGAGTATATTACTAGTATAATAGAGATCACCTGATGCAACAGTACTTGTTCATCTTATTGAAAGAACTAAATTATGAAAGCTTGTAAATTAATTTTCTCTATACAAAATATTGTTTTCATCAAGTTTTTTTTTTATTGAATTGATGGTATGTTTTCTTTGAGAAGTATCTATCTTCAACTTGAGCTACATAACTTAACTGTTTTGTCTACATTAATGATATAATTTTCAAATACAAGCTGGAGAAAATTACTAAATGATTTTTAAAACAAACCTTGTCTTCAATAAAACTGGGTTAGTTTCCTATGTGTCATGTTTCTTCAGGATGTGGATGATCAGAGCTCTCCACAACTTCCTATCCTTTGAAGCTCTTAGCAATGTTTGTCTTTTTAATATACTTCCCAGTCCCTGTTCTGCCATACATTTACACAAGCTTGTTAGGTAGGTTGGTCATGGCTCTCCACAACTTGCTATCCTTTGACGCTCTTAGCAATGTTTGTCATTTTAATGTCCTTCTCATTCCCTGTTCTGCCATACATTTACACAAGCTTGTTAGGTAGGTTGATCATGGCTCTCCACAACTTCCTATCCTTTGTTGCTTTAAGCAATGTTTGTCTTTTCACTATCCTTCCCAGTCCCTTTTCTGCCATTCATTTGCACAAGCTTGTCCGGTAGGTTATTCTTTGTTCTCCTCTGTCACTTCAATATGTCATGTGAGTATCAAATTCTCCAAGACCTTCTTTCTCAATTATGTGTCATAGAAATTTCTTTGGTTTTGGAAATTGACTGATATTTGGGTTATTAAATTATTTTTTATGCACCTGAGGAGAAAACAAAGCTATTCTCAATGCTCATCCCATGAAGTGACACAAGTACAGATACTAAAACAAGCCTAATATGAAAATCTAAACATCACACACCTGAAGCTCTACAGTTACATTCTCGTACACATTTTCTTATTCTCAAAGATGAAACATGCTGCCAACACTTGAAAATATCTATTAGATATACAAAATTTACCAGTTGTCAGTCCTAAAGAAAATTGTTTAAAATCCTAAGAACTTAATCCTTCATTGAAATTCCAAATAGTGAATCTTTTTTAAATGTCTAATCAATGACCTGCAGCAGAGACATTTTATTTGATGTAACTTTCATTAATAACCAAAAAAATTAAAAAAAATAAGCAGTTTAAATATCTTTCACTTTTCATGCACATACACACACACACACACACACACACACACACATATATATATATATATATATATATATATATATATATATATATATATATATATAATTTTATGTCATACTATCCTCTAGGCTTATGACCACAGCGCAACACCAATTCCTGTATGATCACTAGTTAAATAACATCAAGCCTGGTCACTACCTAGATGAGTGACCACTTGGAAATATCAGGTGCTGTAAACTTGGATGTGCAGGTGGAATAATGGATAATAACTCAGAATTGTTAATCAGAGAGCTGAGTTCTAATTTCTGTTGCATTTGTTATATTCACTTATGTGAAAGGTATGAATCCATGGGTTAATTAAAGACTTTTATCACTAAACTACTATTACCAAAAAAAATTTTTTTTTTTTTAAACTAATGTTTATCCAATACAAGGCTAAAAGGACCACTCAAGATAGAGGATTACTGTGTGGAGTTGTATTAGCGTACGAAAGGACGAGATAACAAGAAAGATAGTTAAATCTAGACTTGAAGAGGTCAGGAGTTAATTAACAAATAAAATTTCAGAGTTCAGGTGGAGACATTAAGAGTATAGAGTTGAAGTAGACTTTAGAAGGAACCAGAAACCCAATCCTAAACAAGAAACAAGAGATGTACCTCTACTCCTGTTCAAAAGACCAGAGAGGAATATGAACCAGATGATAGGCAAACTTTACAATCTAAATATATTTTGTAGCTTTAAATAACCTGTAAAGGATTGCTAAGCCATAGGAAATGAATCAACCAACCAAAAATATATATCCCTCCAGCCACTTACAAATGAATATACAAGTTAAGCAGCTGCTGTGTAACCACAGACAAATTCAGTATAAGAAAGTGAACAAATTATTGCAAAATATCTTTGTCACCATTTTCAAGCTATAAAAATCTTTCATTGACAAAGTGTTATTCATTATAAAAAAAAAAAAATTAAAGAAATGTTATATATTTTTTTAAAAAATTTGTTTCCTGCACCCAAAGTAAATTTCTTAACTGAAGAACATTTTTAAAACTTCAATTCTTGTTTTTGTTATTTCCTAGACACCCCAATGTTAAATTTCATGATGATCTAACATGTTGAAGAACAATTTTAAAACTTCAATTCTTGTTTTTGCAGTGATTATTCTTTCATCTAAATGGAATCAAGACACCTATGATTTTCAGCAACATACTTGCTTGAGGGATGATCTATAGTCATGATTTTCAAACATTTAAATGAAATGTTTTCTCCATCTTATTATTTTATTAATAATGTTTTTTTATTAGATTCTTTCACATCAGTGGCTCTTGTGTTTTAGTGGCTTTATTGCCCAATAATATTTAGATGTTTTTATACATAAACACATATAATAAATGCATTTATGAACTTTTAAAACAATTATACTGCAATCTCAAACTATTTACAGTGGATAAATGGAATCCAAACTACCACCTGTAATATTTTTGGTATTTTTAATTTAACAGAAAGATATATTTAATAACTATTTTTATCTTCCATTTATTTTGCAAAAAATAATTGTATCAAAACTTTAGGGACACATATCAGTAGCTGATGGTTCACATACTGGCACGAGTCCATAGACCACCATTTTGAGTAGCACTTGTCAGTTTTCTAACACTTCTTGCTTGAGGGACTCACTACTTGCTTTCTAGTCAACTTTGATTTTCAAACATTTAAATGAAATGTTTTTTCTCCTTAAATCCTATTATTTTATTAATAATGTTTTTTTTATTAGATTCTTTCACTCTCAGTAAACTCTTGTGTTTTAGTGGCTTTATTGCCTTGTTTGGGGGGGGATAATTTTTAAAAAAAGTAAAAAGCAATAATATTTAGATGTTTTTATACATAAACACATATAATAAATGCATTTATGAACTTTTAAAATTTATTATACTGCAGAACCACAGTGCTTCTCAAACTATCTTACATGGTGGACCAACATTTTTTTCTCAATGTGTCACACACCTGTAATATTTTGTGGTAATATTAATTTATACCAGAAATGATATATATAACAAATATAATAATAGTTGACTATTTTTTATCTTCCATTTATTTTGCAAAAAATAATTCAGTATCAAAACATATAAAAAAATAAACTTCAAATAATTCCTTAGCATCACCTGGACACATATCAGTAGCTGATGGTTCACATACTGGCACGAGTCCATAGACCACCATTTTGAGTAGCACTGGTGTAGAAGACATTCATGCAGTCACTGAGTACAGTACAGCTGTTTTGGGATAAGGAATTTATCAGAAAGAACTTTGTAAAAGTGTACTTCTTTTTTTCTCAGATTTAGTGAATAGAAAATGTAAAGATAAGAATTTAGACCTTTTTTTTTTTTTTTTTTTTTTTTTTTTTTGCTGGAATACCATGTCATCTGTATAATATAATCTTGGTTAAGGTAAAGTGAAAAAATTAAATATGTTACTAATTTTATAAGAGGAACAATAGTGATTGTTATTAGATAATTACTAATTATACATTAAATATAGACATGAGATAACATTGAAACTATGTCTCAAATCTTTTAATGTCTTAATAGCTGTCTTTTAAAAAATATATAATTTTGCTGAAATAAAAACAATATAATTTTGCTGGAATTATATAATTTTAAAGAATAAATTTGGAAATACATACATTTAAAAGGGTTTGCTAGGTTTTTCAACAAGATTTTATGATTTGTTGTCACTGTTTAAACTTTAAAATTCCTACTAGTACATGTACAAACAAAAACGAGAAAAAAGAGCAAGCAACCCAGGTTCAAATTTTGCTTGAGAGTTTTTCTTCACACTAATGTCCTTGGGAAAGGAATGAATCCATTTATTTTCTTCCCAGCTATGGGTTAAAGAAGAAACTGAGTTCTTAAGCCTTGGTTGAAGAAGATCAATTCAAAACCTCCATGACCTTATGATCAGAACTAGGAGCAATTTGGCAAATTGGTCTTCATCCTCATTCTGGCAGTTTTTCTGATGACAGCAGTGCCAAATTATGTTGGCCTTTGCCCTCCCATTGGGTAACATTGATGGTGTGGATAAACTTCCTACATAGGCAGTTACCTGTCTTTCATACCTTACCAATGCCAGTGTTCTGTTGAACAAAACTTTCTAGGCATAGATTCTTCGTCTAATGAAATTGATGGGTTCATCAATCTCAGACAGTAAATCCAACTTAATTTCTTTTACTACATTTAGTTGTCATTTTAAGAACAAAAAACCCTAATGGGATAATGATCTCTGTTTTGAATTAATAAATAAATGTAAACTTATAAAACAGAAATAATTTAACAAAAGCTGTTAAATTGTAAAATTTTTTAAATTGTTTCCTGTAAGTGCAATTTTAAGGGATTTTGGAAAAGAAAGACAAAAGTTGAAAAGAGAAATAGAAAGTTTTTGATTTTTAGCATAATATAGCAAAATATGCATTTAAAATATCTTTGTCGACAGTTGATCTCTTTGCTATTTTAGTTTAGGTAAATAAAAGTAGGCATTAAAAATAGTTCAAAGTAATAGTCAACTTATAAGCTATAAATAAAATTTATTTCTATCAAGTAAATTTTTTGTGCATATCACATATTGTGCAAAAGTGTTGAATTCATAGTTTTTTTATTAAAAAGTTTGGCATATTTTAAAATGAAAACCAAAAATAAAACTGCATAAATTTATATGCTTCAAAACTAAATTTGAATTCTTCCTAAGAATTGACTTAAACAAAATTTTTTACTCAATTTATATGTTCACATTAAAACTATTTTCTGGACACAATTTATTTCTTAGAATAATTCTTCACAAACTCTTTTCTTGATGTTATCCATTAATTTTTTGTTATGATGTTAACTAAACTGACTACTAACAAATCTTTTTCTAATATTTTTATTTTCACAGCAGTTTAATAATTTAATGTTAAATATAATTACGAAATGCTAAATTGAAAAAAAAACTTTAAATTTACGTGCATAATTTTGTCAAAGTGTTTATTGGAATGTAAACAAATTATAAATTTTAAATTTATTATTTCATTTATTCATATTTGAAGAATTTTATTCTTGCATTGAAATATCATATTTCATCTAGAAATATTTTTTTTTCTCGTTTAGAACAAGGTACACCTACTAGTTTTTCTTCTGATAAAAATGAGAAAGATGCAGAACTCCCAGTTTTAATGGATCAGTTATTTGGTAAGTGCATCATGTGGACATCTTTAACCTATATGCATAAATCAGTATGTTCTTGAAATTATTATGTTGTGATATTACTCCACAGAGTTGAGACAGGTATTATTAGTAAATATTTGTATAAACCATCCCCTTCATCTTGAAAAAATAGTTACAGATTTAGAATCTACAACTGGGTATATATGTAATACTATTGCTACCCATATAGAAAAAGTTTTTTTTTTCTCAATTTCAAGTGTTTCTAATTGATAGACATCAAAAGTCTGGCCTTATAAGCAGCATCCACTTTGACCAATGGGGAGAAAAGGTAGTAAAGGAGTGGATCAGGAGTTTTTTTGGAGATCAAGCAACAGCAAAATTGATATTGATTATTTCCAGGTGCAGGCCTATATTGTCATGTATGGGATCAGAGAGTCAGTTCTGGTACACCCTTTATAGGAAATGGACTTGTCTGTCATGTGATCCCAATGCCATTCACTCATATTGCCAGTCACCATATTGCAATAAGTAGTTGAGTGCAAGGAAAAAGGTTTTTAGGAGGAAGAGCTGACATAGCAGAAATTGTCCTAAGTGTCACCTACTGTTGGGGCACACCCACCTTCTGACTAAGAATGGACTGATCCCTATACGATATAGGACAGTGCTAGAGAGATAGAGATAGAGACCAGAGAGAGATCTGGAGATCAGGTGACCATTACACTTCCGTCTCTCTACTGAAAGTTACCATTGGACTTTAGACTCTTGCTAATTGTTACTACTAACCTGTGTACCTTATTACTAATCACTCTGTTGTTAAATACCTCTTCAAATATACCAGCATTTTTCCCTACATCTGTGTTTGTCTTTATTTGAATACAAACACGCGGGAACACTCCCAACATCTCAACACCTACCCACCCAGATGAACAAACAAAACCCTAAATAAAAATACCTATTGGAAACAAGGTTCAACATTGCATTTGTCTTTCATCTTGTTACCTTGTGAGCATGCAGTGGACCCTTGTTCAGTTTTGGGTGATGATCGATATAAGATTGAGAATCAAAATGTGATATGGAGTAATCATTGGCTGGTTGGTGGAAAGCTTATGCAAGGCTTGTGTTGTATGTTTACATATATACACTGTTTGATTTATTCCGGGGTCAATGTTTTCACAATAAAATTGGTATTAACCAATTAATGTTGCTATAATTTCCAGGATATATTTATATAAAAAATATATGTGAATTTCATTTTATAATATCTGATATTTACAGTAAATTATTTTGGTGTTGTAAGATTTTATTATACAACTTGTGGGTTTGTCACCATCTTGTAAATAACGTTATAAAGTAGCATAGTCACTGATATTTTTTTGTTTAAATTTTGGATATATAAAAATTTGTATAAGTCATATGAAAGACATAACTTTAAAAGAGAAACAAGATATTGAGAATTGCAATAAATTAAACAGGGATTGTAAAACAATTTGTAGTGAACTACCACAGAGACCAAAGAGGGTTGTATGCATTTTCCGCAATGCTAGAAAAAAATGACTTACCTCTAGGGTGAACACAGATTCGAATGTGCTTTGCATGTAAACTGTCCAAAAAGGAAAAAAATGACAGCTTTGTGGGTTACACATTGTTATACCATACCTATAGAGTATAATGGGTAAGTCCCAATCCTTATAAATACAGTGGAATATACTGTATGTTGGACTCACTCAGGTTTCACCTTGATTCACTTGTAGCTCACTACTAGTAGTTGATTACTTACTATATGCCACTGGTAAATCTCGTATGTTGTTTCTGTTATAAATATTATCATTCCATTTCCAACCTTCATTTTGGTTATTCTTATTCAGTAACCTTTTCTTAGGTTACAACACACATTTAAAACAGATAGATCCCAGAGTCATATACTATCTCATAAAATTGTTTTTACACATATGTAAATTTTGGCTGTGAATAAGGAGATAAAAACAGGTAGAAGGAGGTGACAGGATACTGCTGTATCGAACAGGCTACACTTGTTACAGTCGGTAGAGTTTCTGAGAGGAAACAGATTGCAGGAACTGTTTGCAAGAAAAGAAATGAAAAGTTTACATCCTTTTAGCTACATAATTAAAAATGGAATTGAAAAATAAGAATAAAAAAAAAAAAACATGTTTTAAGAAAGTCATAAAAAGATTTGGAAAAAATGGTATAATAAGCAACAAAAGTAGATTGACAAACAATAAAATATTTCAAGAAGCCGGTATTGCCCATGTAAATCGAGAAAAGACTAAGAACATTGACTAAAGACATGAAAGCAATCAAACAACCATCTTTAGATAATTTCAGAAAGACAAATTAGAAGTACATTCTCGTAGAGCTACATTTGATTAACCTGACAGTTGGATAAGAAATTGGATCCTTCACTAAAATCGTCAGCCAAGATGATTTAGAAGCAGAAACAATCAGACAACCATCTTTAGATAATTATCAGAAAGACAAATTAGAAGTACATTCTCAACAGGAATATTTAATGATGAATGTAGAGCTACATTTGATTAACGTGACAGTTGGATAAGAGATTGGATCCTTCACTAAAAACGTCAGCCAAGATGATTTAGAAGTCAACAAAGGACAAGTAGAGTCAGTAGCATGCAGAAGGACAGCTCTTGCCTGAATCAGGCAGTTCACTGCCAGGCACACAGATGTGGTTATGCCAAGGGGCAGTCGCATCTAAGAATCACCCCACATAAAAAAATGACCTTATGCTACATCCTGCCTTGTGGGGAGTGTATGGTAAATATTATAGCATGCAGAAGGGGATGGAGAGTGTTCGATGGCCCCAGACATCCATATTGGGAGTGCATCCAATTGAAGTGTGGAATAAAAAATTTAGTTTATATTTAATTTGAATAAAGTGTTTATTTAATATTTCATCTTTTTTTATATATTTTTCCTTTCTCACATTTCTCAGTAGTAGGCCCTAAAGCCCCCCCCTACTTGAGACTTAGGGACGTACAATCAAGTAGTTGGCCCCGGGCATCACAAGACCTCTCACATCACTGGGTGGAGTAATCTTTTAGGCTAGGATTTTTGGCAGTAAAATTATAGATCTCTTCAAAGTTAATGATAGTTCAATATAGATACAGAGAATTATTACAAGTACTTGGACAAGAAATTTTTGACTTGTACATTTCTTAATCAAAGCTTTAAACTAAAGATTATATTCATGCAAAATAATACTCCTTCATATTGTGTATATACTTAGATCATTCTATTGTGCTAACCTTTTGTGAGTAAAGAGCTCATTAGAATGATGATGATAAAAAGTCTTAAATCATTTAAAGAAATCTATTTAAATTGAATTTGAAACTAACTGATCTGTCTAGCCCATTGTATTAGTGAAATTTGGTTTATTTTGGGGGAAAAATATAGACATAGAACACAATAAACTCAGACATAGATCTGAAAACAAAATGTGTGAATTAAAGAAAATTCTTTTGAATTTTATATATATATATATATAGAGAGAGAGAGAAAGCATGGTGGAGTAATGGCAAGCGGCTTGGATTGAGGAATCTGAGAGCCGAGTTCGAATTCCAGTCGAATCCAGTTACATTCACTTACGTGCTAATACCCTTGGGAAAGGTGTGAATCCTCTTCTTCTCCCTCCAGCTATGGGTAAATAGCAGGACAGACTGGGTTCTATAGCCTTGGATGGCAACTGGTCTAGGAGAAGAAAAACTCTGAATTCAAAACCTGCGGCACGTAGTGCACCAGGTCTCTGTATTCAGCCCTTCAAAAAGTGTGGATGGTCCTGCACGAAACCTTCAGCACTATAATCAAATCTCGTGCTATTGTCAGGCTGTCGGTTTCCTAGGAACTGATTTGCTTGACCCTCATATGTCGAATTTTGATGGGAGGATCAAGTAGTATATATATATTATACTGCTTATATCCTAACCAAACAATAGCTGAATGTGAATTCCTAATATCATGAATAGAATGCAAGATGTTATACCATTAGATGTATATTTCTTCATTGCAAATGTTATTCTAGATGTTATTTTCTGAAAAAGAATTCTGTCATAGAACTATGTGCTTGTTGCAATAAGTCTATTATAAAGCAAGTGGTATTTCTGATACTCTAGGCTTACAGTTTTCTACAGGGATTGTCAAAATTATGTGCAGCTTACCAAAAGAAAGTTTTTAAAGACATCAAATTTATCTTTTCCAGATATTAATCTAATGGAAGACTTATGGCCCATCATTAAAAGATATATTTGAGAATGGTGAACAATATATGGGGAAACAAAACTGCTGAAAGTTGAAAATAGTAGTTAATAAAATTAATGTATAGAGTAGTGAAGATTATTAAATGTCAAAGAGTTTATATTAACATGTCAAATAATAATAATTTATTCAGATATGTGGAATATTATGGTAATCAAGTATGTTTCTGTGTCTTATATGTTTTAGAATTATTTAATAAGAATTGATAAAGCTGAAGCTCACATAAGATATTGCTTATATAATATAAAATCTAATATAGAGTATAATGATAGTGACCTTGACTAACCATAGATATAATATCCACTATTGCTGTTAAAAGGAAGTTTATAAGCTCACTTCTTTTTTCCTCTTTATATTATCCATTATAATGTTCTTGGGAAATGGTTACAAATTCCTTGAAATGGTAGGACTTACATTATATACTACATTTTGCATCATCTTGTAGGCCAACTGAACCTGTTTTTGTTAAGTTTCATGAAAAAAAAATGATTAAAATTTAAGATCATATTTTTTTCAATACAATTCTTTAAAAATGTCCTTTTTGTAATTTTAAGTAATGAGGATTTATTACTATTAAGTAGTATGTTAAGTATTAATAACATGTTAAAAGTAATCACTAGTCAGGCAAATTTTTTGCATCCCAGCTTCAGTCACTTTCCCACCACCATAATATAGCTTCCCTGTGTCTTTTCTACAGACATTTTCATGGTAATTGTTCTGACAAGACTTTCTCTTTGGTATCTCATCTTTACAAATATAAAAACAGTACTAAATTAGTAACTAGATCTGATCATTTTAGAGTTGAAATTACTAAGACTTCGTGTTCATTTAATTTATTTTTTTATTTATTTGTTGATGTATTTAATATAAGTTATTGAGTTACAATATGACAGAATTAATTAACAAAAAAGCTATTTTAGTTATTTATCTACTTATTTAGTTACTTTATCTGCTTTTATATCAGCAATGTTAATCTGTGCCTCCAAATATAAACACAGTACTAAATTAGTAACTAGGTCTGATCATTTTAGAGTTGAAATTACTATATGTAAGAATACGTTTTTTCTTCTCACTTGTGAAAATCTCTTCCAACCTCTTGTTTTCCAGTAAAATTTGATCTTCAAAAATTTAAATGCAATTTCAATCTTGTCTTCTAATTCCCATTCTGTTATTGTTCTCTTTCCTTGATAATATTTTTTCTCATATTCTTTCACACTCATTAACCCCTTGTATCATAATGGCTTTATTGACTTGCTTAGAGTGAAATGATTAAAAAAAAAAAAAAAAGGCAGAAGTTATCCACATTCTAAATTGTAAGATAACCTTTTTCTTAAGGATTTGTATATTTATAAACTGATATTTTTTCTATGTTTGTCACCTTTCAGCTCATAATACTGGTCTACACAAGAGGTCACTTGGTGACAACTTTGACCAACGGTTGAAGGTAACACATTCCAGTTTTGTCACAACTGCCGATAATCGGTTCATTTTTGCCTGTGGATTCTGGGATAAAAGTTTCAGGATTTTTGCAACTGAATCTGGTAAGTACTTATTGCATATAATTATCTTTCTACTAAATGTCATAGTGTTCTATTTACATTATCTGAATTTAATAGAAAATAATAACTAAGTATGCTCATAAATATTTACCAATTCATCTTATATTAAAGAAAAAATGCTTGGGTTGTAACATTAATCTTTATTAAATATAACACTCCTAATCTAAATTAATCCTATTAGAAGCTAAAAGTAGCTATAATTTGGTGTTCATCCGTCTGTTACTTCTACCCTTCTTTTGAAATATATCTGATTTTTTTCCTACACTGGACTAAATCAATCCCAAAAAGCAAAATTATAAATGATTGTAAATTTAAAGTAGTTACTATCCACAGTGACAATTTACTGACTTTCATCTCCCTTTTATAATTATCAAAAACATTTCTTACTCTGCTGTAAAACTCAATTTCAAAATTAAAAAAAAACAAAGTTCTCAAAAGTACTATTGAATTTATTGTACTTAGAATATCTTAGACTATAAATTTAAAAAATTTAGAATTCTAATTTAATCCCAAATAATTCTGTTGTGTCGTGTATATTGCTAAGTAAGCATTCAACCTCTGTTCTCGTTGGTGTCCATTTATCATATGAGCTACCTGCTCATATGCAAATTATACTAATTTGCATCTCACTACATCTCCCTATAACAGAGGGGCCTTATGCCACGAATACTTCTTGTACTTCTTCTTGTGCCCTCCTGAACATCTTCCTTTATCTGTCTCCTTTCCCTTGGAGATCTAGATTTATCACGTCTTTCCCTATAATCGAACTGTTCCTCTTGCATACTCTGGTCTTTCTCTTCTAACTTGTCCCATTCTACTTCTTCCTCTTCTAACTCATCCCTCTCTACTTCTTCCTCTGCAGTTTCATTCTGCATTAACTCTTCTGATACATCAATAATGGGCATCTCTGAAGGCATTTCCTCATCCGATTCTTCTCCTTGGGATCTTATTTGGTCAGCATGAGCTAGAACACTGTTCCCATTTTCTTTATTTAATATTGCAGTATTATGTCCTTTCTGCATAATAAATTCGGCTGACTCGGGTTGCATATTCCTATTTCTTTTGTACCACATCTTTTGATTTGTGGCATATGACATAGTCAAGGGACCTTAATTGTCTGCCCATTAAGGCAGATGGACTTTTCCGGCCTGCCTGACATGGAATTGTTCTGTAACTTAATAACAGTCTTGGTAGAAAAGCATTGATTTCCTCCTTCTGTTGCAAGCATGCTTTTATGCCCTTCTTTACCGTCTGGACCATCCTTTCCGCTGTCCCATTACTTTGAGGGTGGTAGGGAGGGGTCTTGTAAGGTCTGCATCCTATTTTTCTTAGCCATTCATGCAAATCAGCATCCACAAATTCTGGTGCATTATCAGTCACCAATGTTCTCGGTGTCCCATTCCTCGAAAATATTACTCTTAATATTTGTTTTACGGTGATACTTTTTTTATCAGGTACTCTCACCACTTCAGGCCAACCTGAATATGCATCTACTAATATTAATAATAGTCCTATCCCATTGACATAGGCATGGTCCATGTGTACTCTGCTCCATGGTTCTACTTCTCGGGGCCATACATGTATTTTCTTTTGCTTAAAATTCCTGAGTTCTGTGCATTTTTTGCATCCTTTTACGTAGTCTTCTACGTCTCTTGAGTACCCCGGCCACCACGCTTCCAATTTTAATCTTCTTTGTGTAGCTGCCACTCCACAATGTACATCATAGTGTACACTTTTTATAACCTGTCTCCTCTGTGTTTCTGGGGGAACTACCATGTCTCCATTACATATTATCCCGTTTTCTATAGTCATTTTATGTCTGATTTCTTTGAATGGTCTTTCAGCCATTGAACAATTTCCCCAGCGATTCTGTTTTATCCTCGACATTATTCTATTTAACACTGGGTCATTTGTAGTTTCAGTAGCCATTTTATCTACAGATATTACATCGGTTTCTACAAGGTGCAAGAATGTGTCTTCAAATTCCTCATCATTTTTGTCCTTCTCCTCTCTATAAAACCTCAATCTAGATAAGGCATCAACGTGCGATATCGTATTCCCTTTCAATGTCAAAGTCGAACGCCATCAGTCTAATCACCCAACGTAATATTCTGGACGTTGTAACTTTCGGTAGCTCTTTTCTTGGGTTGAAAATAAATTCCAGTGGTCTGTGATCACTTTTCAACAAGAATTTTTTTCCCATCAAAAACTGTCTTGCTCTATCCGTTGTCCACACTATGGCTAGTGCCTCCCTTTCTATATTCGAATAATTGTGTTCAGTTGTTGTTAATCTCCTCGATAAGTACATTATGGGATGCCCATCTTGTGACAAAATATCAGATATGGACTGCTCACTAGCGTCAGTAGTTAGAGTTATGTCCTTCTTAGGGTCAAAAATTTGTACTATTGGCTTTTTTGCCAGAATCTGTTTTAAGTTTTCAAAGGCTTTCTGTTGGTGTTCTAACCAAATGAATTCCACTTTTTTTTTCTTAACTTAGCAAATGGTTCTGTCAACTCATTATATTTTTGGTACATATTTTCTATAAAATTTACCAAACCTAAGAAGGACTCCAACTCTTTTTATTTTTGATTGTAGCAACTTTTAGAATTTTCTCTATTAGTACTTTATCTGGAGAGATCCCTTCCTTTGATATTGAGTAACCAAAAATGATATTTCATTACTGTTGGTTACACACTTTTTTTGTATTTATTGTCATACCAGCGTCTCTTAGCGGTTCAGTATATTTTCAGTTTTTTTCTTTAAATCATCTTCATTTAAATCTCTAACACATATATCGTCTTGATAACAGATGGTATTTTCAACATTTCCTATTACTTTTCAATAGCTTTTTGAAAAATTGCACTTGTTGTTTTTATGCCATACGGCATTCTTTTCCACCTTAACAGGCCTATAGGTGTGTTTATGGTCGTCACTTTAAAATTTTCATTTATCGGTATTTGGTGGTAAGCTGATTTTAGGTCTATCTTCGAAAATACTTTCATTCCAGCAAGTTTATGTAAAGCTACTTCCACATTCGGTATAGGGTACGAGTCAGCACAAACTTTATGGTTCACCCCTATTTTATAATCTCCACAAATTCTCAGGTCACCATTTTTTTTTTTCAATACCACAATGGGAAATGCCCATTTACTTCCTCCTGGAGGGGCAGGTTCTAATAAGTCTTCCTTTATTAGCTTTTGCAATTTAGCTATTACCAACGGTAATAAATGCACTAGTATTTTTCTCGCTTCATAGTAGGAGGGGGAAACATCTTTTAATTTCAGGCTAGCTTCATAATTTTTTAATTTTCCTATTTTTTCTATTTCTATCTCATTAATCAACTTCGTTGAATTTATTTTTAACACGTCATTCGCCAGTAGTCCATGCGTTTTTCGGCAATTTGTAACTATAATGGGTACTATTTCATATTTTCTTTTTAGTTCTATTGAACCTTCAAAGTAACCCATAATTGCTATAATCGAACCATCAAACTGACGTTTTTTTTTTAAAAACGGTTTTCCCATTTTTTCCCACAAATTTCTGGGTACTATCGTGACGTCACTACCTGTGTCGATTTGCATTTCGACAATACAGTCGTTGATTTTCACTTTTATTTTTGTATCTCCATTCTTAGATCCAGTATTTTGTATATTACCCTTTTTTACATTAAAAATCTGTCTATTTTCATCCTCTACTCTTTCCACATTTTTCGTTTTACATACTTCTTTGAAGTGATTTTTTTTAAACACTTTGAACACGTCTTTCCAAAGCCTGGGCATTTTCTTTTTTCATTTCATGAATTTTTCCACAGTACGCACAATTTTTTCTTTTTGTTTGTACTGTATATGTTTCAGCCATTATTTCTTCGTAGGATTTATTTTTATTTTGGTTGTAGGTATGTATTAATTCCTGCTGTTGTATAAATTCTATACACATATTCAAAGGCATGTTTGTAAGTTGTAACTGTTCCATTAACTTATATCTATGTGCTGAATTATGCATACCTTCAATTAATCTTAGTTGGATTAATTCTCCTTCTGTTGTCTGCTCTCTTGTTCCTAGTTTTTCGAATTCACAGTATTTACTTGCACTTCTTAACCGGTGTAAATATTTTACTATCAGTTCATCCACTTCCTGCTTCATTGCCATAAACTTGGTCCTTTCTGCAATCACCAGTCTTTTCTTTGGCCTCATGTTTCCCTTAATAACCTGACTTATTTCTTCAAAAGTCATTTCTTCTAGTTCTTGAGGGTAAACCATTGTAGCAACCTTCATAATCGCTTCACAACCAGCGGTAGCCATAAACAAGTCGGTGATTTCTTTTTCCCCTCCTCTGTTTTTGTTGTCTTTCAACTTTTTACATCTTGCATTAGCAGCAAAGCAACGAATCCACGTATCTACGTACTCTGGGTCTTCAAGGACCAAAGAGTATCCTATCGACGACGCCATTGTTGTGTCGTGTATATTGCTAAGTAAGCATTCAACCTCTGTTCTCGTTGGTGTCCATTTATCATATGAGCTACCTGCTCATATGCAAATTATACTAATTTGCATCTCACTACAAATTCTAAAATCTATAAATCATAAGAGTAAATCTATATAGAAACAAATCTAGGCTTTACTTGAGAAACTCATTATCTGAAAATTATTGAATAATTCACATAGATTTTTTTTTAAGTGTCAGTTTTTAAATAGTTTCTATCTAATAAAACAATTCACTTTTGCAAAATTTTTAATTACATTTACTACAGTAATGCAAGTAATTATACAAATTTTTCTTAAGATTAAGTAATTTAGTCTTTACCACAGAATATAAGGTTAAGTCATAAATGGTTTCTGTTATTGTTTATCAACTTTATTTTTAAAAATATAAAGTAGAATTACATTTTATTCAATCATATATTTGCCACTATTAGCAAAGATTTTTTGCTTATTCACCATTATTGCCAATTACATTTTACTTATTATTCAACATTATTGCCAATGACTTGTTGCTACTTATCAAATAACTCTTTGATACATTTTGAGTAAAAATCTCCAAATTGTAATGTGAAAAAGTTTTCAACAATTTCTCGTATCTGGTTTTCATTAGAGAAAGTTTTCCCTATCATTGTATTTTGTTTTGATCAAAAAAGGGAATAACTTTTGTTAGGTGAATATGTTAGATGGGATGAAGGAGACTAGCCATGTTCTAAATTTTTTTCCTTTGTTATTCTTGCTGTATGTAGCTTTACATTATCAGGGAGAAGAATATTTTTCCTATTAACAAGTGCTGGGCACTTTTCAACTAAACTTTTATGGACACATTGCAGGAAAATCACTAATATACCACAAATACCCACTACACTCATCTGTAATTGCAGAATCAAGCATGAATGCCCACTAAACTCTAACTTCCTAAAAACTAATGTAATATACAAAGCTACAGTAAGAATGAAACGAAACCTAGAAAACAAATAGTATTAACAGAAGGTCACTGGAAACAGCTGTTCACAACAAACATCATTAAACAACAGAAAATATGCAAACAATACTACTCTATCAAAGAACTTAGGTCAACTCAAAAACACAATCCAAAACACCAAAACTAACATAGGAAATACTGAAAAACATTACCAACTAAAAATGGTGTAAACATTGCCATGAGAATAAAATAACATTAATTACTTTTTCCAAAAAAAGAGAAATTTCTAAACAAAAGATCAGAACTCATTTCCAAATACAAAAATGAAAACAAATTTATTCAGTGTTATTTAGAATGATATTGTGTCCAAAAAGACTAAATTAAAATCACATAGTATCACTTTATAAACTTTAATCCTAATACCAAAACACAGTCACAAAGAAAAATATGCAAAAAAGATGTACAGAACTGAAGAAATAATTTAATGAATGAAAATATAGATGGATATAGGTATCAATACTTGGTGGTGACAGCCTGTTTCATGCTTAAATGCAATCAATTGCATATACTCTCTGTGATATTGAGTACTTTTCACTCATAAATATAGCATACCTTAAAAGTTAATAAATATATATATATATATATATATATATATATATATATATATATATATATATATATTTATTAAAGACATTTTTATTTATGTTTAACGTTGTTATTTTATAGATACAAGTATTTAAGCAAATGCTCTGTTTAAGATAAACAGTATTAAATAACATTTACTGGCCTGAATGTCCGAGAAATTTTCATAGAAAATATTCGTTCATAGACAGGATTCAAACCTGCATCCTATACGGAACTGTCATATACGCTGACATGCCTTAACCACTCGGCCACCATGAACCTTATGGTAGACAAGGTCGAATTTACTGTTATAAACTACAATCTTCCATGAATCTCGTACATTCATAACTGCTCTGGCGTATCGAATGTAAACAAATGACAATATATATATATTTTTAACATATATATATATATATATATATATATATATATATATATATATATATATATATAGTTTTTAAGGTATGCTATATTTATGGGTGGAAAGTAAATGCAAAAATTTATATATAAATAAAATATACCTGTAAAAAGACAATATGAATAAAGACTAAAGAAAAGTTTTCTTTTTGTTTTTATTCATATATATATATATATATATATGATAGGATAAAGAACAAATAGGAAATGTTTATCAATCTAATATAGCATTTATTTTTAACATGCACACATATATATATATAGATAACAAATTCAAACTACAGATCCTCAAAGCAATCCACATTAAATAAAAATTGAAGCCATCAATTAATAGAATCAGCTACAAATACAGTAGTAATGTTCTCAAATATCTATAAAAAGTACAGTTTTTCACATTTTAATGCGTGCATGACTGTGACATTACAACATAGAAGAAAAAATTCCGTAATGGATAATTTTTTCATGTTCTGATGAACCCTAAGTATGACTGTCAAACATTGCATTTAAAAGCCAAAAGAAAAAATTACAGTAAAGGATATCAACACATAGTTTTGTATTACTACTTGCATCCCTGAAGATGATCTCAGAAGATCGAAAGTATTTGGGAAATAAGAGATTTTTACAGTTATAGCACATTTCTCACATCATTTAATTGCAATGCATGAAAGATTATTTGTGAGTATGAATTGATTGTTAAAAATAAGCAGACATAATGTCTCTAATTTATTTAATCAGTCATGTCTAAAAGAGAATTTGCTACCTAAATACACATACATACATACATATATATATATATATATAATATATATATATATATATATATATATATATATATATATATATATATATATATATATATAGCATGAATCATTTAAATATTTTGTATTTTGATGTTATTAACTTTATTTACCATACTGCATTTTTTTTCTGTATATTTTCCAGCTAGAATAGTACAGGTGATCTATGGCCATTTTGACATTGTCACATGCATCACCAAATCAGAAAGTAATACAAACCATGATTGCTACATTGTCACTGGTTCTAAAGATTGCACTGTTATGGTTTGGCAGTTTAATGCCCGAACTCAAGCTATTGTTGGTGATATTGGAAGTAAGTAATTTGTTTTTATATAACTTATATACTTATAAGTGACTCCGGTTTACAAGAGAAATATAAGCTTTTTTTTAACATAGTTTTTTTTTTTAAATTTTAAACAGATTTATAAAAATTAAAAGAAAAAATAGCAAATATTCAAAATAGATGCTGTTATATGAAAATTCATTTTAAGCCTTTCTTAGTATGATTTATTTTTTATTATTTCTAGTCATTTAAGAAAATGAATAGTAAATTTTGAGTCATTTTTGCATGAAAAGATTATCTAGCTGTTGCTGGTTTAGGACTGACTTTCTATATTGAATAACAGATGCGGTCTTTGTTTCAGCTGCAGAGAAACCAACCCCCAAAGCAACACTCACTGGACATCAAACTGAAGTCGTATGTGTGGCTGTCTTCTCAGAACTTGGACTGGTTGTTAGTGGCTCTAAAAGTACACCAATTTCTCATTATCTTTTTCTAATTCATATTTTCAAAATGTATATATATATATATATATATATATATATATAAATCATTATTAGAGTGATAAAAACAGACCTGTTAAAAAGTAATTTATAACAAAAAAGAAACAATTTGTAACAAAAAAAAATCAGGCGGGTAACAAAAAATATATACGCTGTAAAATGGTAATGCCAAAATATAACAACAAAAACAGTTAAATTGGTTTATCAGTTTTTCCCCCATCAGATCAAAAATCAAGCACAAAACACATTGCACAGTGACTAAGAAATATACAACACCATAAAAATGTTATATAAAAGAAAATATAACATTAAAGGTTAATTACTTTTAAGCTCACCAACAAATCCTTCTGCTTACAGAGAGATGGTCGGTTGGACTTAATATATGCTGATTCCAACACTTTTAAGTGATAACCAGAATTAGTCCTGTTCAACACTGAGAACATGTCAAGGCTATAAGACTGGCACACTACTGTCTTTTAATCAAATGTTTAGCTATTACTGAAACTAATACACTGACATACATCTGTAAATTGTTTACTTTCCTCTTGCAAATATTGGCTGGTATGTCTTGGTTGATCTGTGCTTCCAAGCTTTGACACATTCTGCCTACATAGTCGACATCACACTGGCATCTAAATTGGTAAATTACAGAAGTAATATAATAGGCAGAAGATGCTTCCAGATTGGGATCAACAAACATAGGTTAGGCATAAAAAAACAATCATTATTTACACATATACTGTGTATTATTTTATTTGGATATTTAACAGAAATCTGAATTTAATAAAGGAACTGTTTGTCATTTTGTATAGAATTTCAATATTTCTTTTCTAGATGGGCCGTGCCTTGTCCATGCTCTAACAGGTGACTTGTTGAGGTCTCTTGATCCTCCTGAAGGTTGTTTTTCTCCTGAATTAATCACTATGTCAAGAGAAGCATTTGTGCTGGTTAAGTTTGACCAAGGCAATATTTGTAACTTCACAATCAATGGAAGACTTCTACAGCATGTAAAGCATAAAGATAATATCATGGTAAGAGTAAAGAAAAACCTTTTATTTTTCTTTCGTTTTCAGATTGATATTTGACATTTATATATTTACTGGTAGAATAATGACAACAAAGATAAGGATAATACTCTACATGTAAATAATGAAAATAGTGATCTCTTCATAACATAAATTCAGAAATTAATATGTTTACGTGCACATCATGCAAATGTGCATCTGCATCTTATGGTATGTTGCACATTGCATTTGGTGCATATATGAATTTTGTCGTATATTATATATTGCCTTTGGTGCAGATTTGTATATTGGGGTATATTGTCTTTGGTGCACATATGAATTTTTTAGTCTATTATATATTGCATCTTTTACACATATGCATTTTGTGGTATACTGCGTTTAATGCATATATACATTTTGTAGTACAGTGTAACCCGGATATAAGAGACCCGGATATAAGGGAAACCCGGATATAAGAGAGATTTTCTCTGGTCTTAAATTAGAGCCTGTGTTAATGTATATAAAAGAGACTTCTTCTCCGGTCCCAACAACTCTCTTATATCCAGGTTACACTGTATATTACATATACGCCTTAGGTACACATGTGCATTTAGTAGTATATTACATATTGCCTTCAGTACACATGCATTTTGTAATATATTATGTATTTCCTTAAGTGTTACATTTGTATCATATTGTCTGTTGCATATTGTGCATTTTCTGTACATGTGCATGTTTTTCTATGTTGTATATTTTTATGTATATGTGTATCATGTATTATATTGCATTTAATGCACATTTGTTATAAATTGCATATTGTCATTGATGTGAATTTACACCCTGGGATATGTTACACACAATATGAAATGTACATATTGGCTCTAGTGCTCAAGCACTATTGTTTGCATTGCATATTGCTATTGGTGCAAATGTACATTTTCTAAAATCAGGCATATTGCATTTAGTGTACATCTTGTAAAATGGTTCATATTGTCTTTAGTACAGATCTGCATTTTTTGGTATGTTGCAGATAGTTTTTGGTGCAGATGTACATTTTGTGGAATTATGTATGTTGCCTTTGATGTATACATGTGTCTATTCCACAGTTTTTATTTCTTTAAATACCAATAAAATCAGATTTGTGTTGTCATTTTTATCCTTTAAATTTGTGGAATTATTATTTTTGTCATAATTATGATAATCAAATAACTAACATGACATAATGGATAAAAATATCTGTGAATTATTTGTTGCAGTAATTTTTTATAGTCTAATGAATTTAATTTTATTTCTTATAATAAATCAGACTAATTTCTAACAGTAACTTTATCCAAAATATAGTGTTATATAAACATTCTAATATCCAAGAAAATAGGGAAATTTTTGAAAAGTATCTTATTTAAAGGTAATTCATTAATATTTTTTTCCTTTTTTTTAATGTTTGCGTAATATAAGGCCGAAGAGCCACTCAGGGTAGCAGATTAATGTGCTGCAATTTATTAGTGTGGGAAAGGACAAGTGTTAGAAGTATAGAGTTGAAGTAGACTTTAGAAGGAACTGGAAACCCAATCCTAAAGAGGAAACAAGGGATAAATTCTACATCTTTTTAAAAGACTGTGGTGGAGTATGAACCAGACAATTTACTATGGATTTTGTTTTCTTATTTAATAATGTTTCATTTACATGTTTATTTACTGATAAACTAAGTGAAAAAAATGTTGTTTTCTGCATTTTTAGTCAATGATATTGAGTCGAGGTGGAGAATATCTTATCACTGGAGGTGACTGTGGGGTGGCTGATGTTTGGCGAACTCATGACCTGACACTTCTTTATTCTTATCCTAAATGTGATGGCAGCATTCATTCATTGTCCTTGTCACATGATGAAAGGTAAATTATATTTCATATAACTATAGTATTATTCTTTATTACAGGTTTTGAGTTTATCTTTCTCTCTCAATTTTTTTGTTTTTGCACACATACACATAATCATATTTATATTATAGATAGCATCATTTATTTGGTTCTGTTTTTCAGACTCTTACTTCTTGGTCTTGGAACTGGATGCCTTCTTGTTTTCTTCATTGACTTCAACAAATGGCACCATGAATATCAGGATAGGTACTAAAGCTGGAGAAGTACCAACCAATTACCAATGAAGCCAATGACGCCTTAATAGCCTGCATGATCAGCATTTCTGGAGCTGACACCCGGGCTAAACCATTTTTTCATCTAGTTTTCTTTTCTAAAAATGATTTAGAAATAATGACATTCTTTGTTTAAACATCAACCTGGAGTTTACTAAGATAAAATATTAATCCGTAAAAATTTTTATATGTTACAATTTGGAGAAGGCTATCATAAAAAAAAAAATTAAAAAAAAAATTCAACCCCTAAAAAGCATGGAATTCTAAAACCAGGAATGACTTATATAAAAGCAAACATATCAAAATCTCCCGATTTTCAATTTTACTCCTTTTTTTATGTTTATTTTATTTTTTGTATGGTTTAAAAATCCATGCTGAAACAAGATTTGGAACGCTATAATCTATTCATAATTTTGATTTTAAAATTTCTAGACAACAAACCTTTCTGTTATGTTTGCACATATTAATAAAAAAATATGCTTCATACTAGTATTGTTTTGATTTTTTGTGTTTTTTGTTTTCTTTGTTTTTAATCTTATATCTTTTCTGCCTGAACAGACATTCAATTTTAAATAATTAAAATACCTGAGTAGGAGGAGAAGACAGAAGATACAGTTTAAAATTTCATGGACAGCAAAATTCAATTTGAAGTTGTCAATCTCTCTGAGGATTTCCTTAGAAAATCTACACATATCTCGTTCAGATCAAATATTGAATAAAAATTTGAGTCAACTGCCTAATAAAGCTATTTTTAATGAGGAAAACTTAGTTATTTAATTTAATCTATTTTTTGCAACATTCATATTTTAGGTTTTGTGATTCTTATTAACCCTAGAATACTAACCATGGGCATATAGTACCCAGCACAAATTTTTCTTATTTTTAATTAGAATTTTCAGTACCTGATTTTCTTACCTAAATAATGTTTTTCCGTTTCTATTAATGTTAACTCAAAGTACAAAATTTGAAGTGCCTGCATGTAAAATATTTCAAATAAAGATTTATATTTAATATTCTTTTGATATTCTCAAAATCGGGTATGATATACCCATGGTTAGTAGTGGTGTAACTTTAATTGATGGTTAGTGCTCTAGGGTTATTAAAATACAAAGTCAGCTGGTGTATGCCTAGAGAAGCCCAGCATTTCAGTTTTACTCACTTTACCCCTACTGTAACATAGCTTCTCTATGCCTTTTCTATAAATATTTTCATGATAATTGTTCTGATGAGCCTTCCTCTTTGATATCTAGTCTTTATGAATTTAAGTGCAGTACTAGATTGTCAGTTAGGTCTCATCATTTTACAGTTGAAATAGCTAGTTATAACCCTGAGTTCTATGCTAACAGTTTCTTCGATCTCACTTCTCACTTGTGGAACTTTCTTTTAGTTTCTTGATTTCCAACTTGAGTATCTTCATTATCTTGCTTGGGTGAAATGATTAAAATAAATTTCTAATTTATTGAAAGGTTAGTCATGAAAGAACAATAAGTTTTCTACCTTTATGCATATGAGAAACTGATCTTGCTGGTACATTTGGTTGTATTAGGTTAACTTATTTATGTTAATTTAACAGAAAAGGACACTTACAATGAAATAAATCAGTTTTATCTACATCAAAATGAATATACCACTTGATTTCTCAACACTTGATTTCTTTGCTATCATTTAAAAAAAGGAAACTTTTCAGAAATTTTTATCTTTGTTTTATTTTTTTATTTGTTACATTTTATAATTTTTTAATGAAATTCTTTTAATCTATAGGAATGGATTTGGAAATGCTATCATTTTCTGACAATAAAACAGAATGTAAAATAATTCTCTTCCAATTCTGTTGCCAACTAAAGTGTTGCACGGAGGCACGGTGGAGTAATGGATAGCAGCTTGGATTGAGGAATTGGAGAGCCGAGTTCAAATTCCAGTCGAATCCATTACATTCACTTACGTGCTAATACCCTTGGGAAAGGAGTGAATCCTCTTCTTCTCCCTTCAGCTATGGGTAAATAGCAGGACAGACTGGGTTCTATAGCATCGGATGGCAACTGGTCTAGGAGAAGGAAAACTCTGAATTCAAAACCTGCGGAGACCTGCGTCTCTCTGAGCCTTGATTGGCAATCCATTTAGTGATGGTGTCACGATAAAAACACCCTTGATAGCCCTAGTGAAGCATCAAGAATTCAGCTATTTGACAAGATTATAAACTACACCAATCAAAGTATTAGCTATGACATAAGGAATACTGGAAAGGTGTAGTAAGTTCAATCTTGGCTGAGGCAGCAAAAGAAGAAGAAGAAAGTGTTGCTTTTCCTAATTTTCCATTTAGAACAGAGTATCTACTGTGATATGCAATAACTCTATGGTTTCCAGTATCATCTCTAAACTTGATCCTCACAAAGCATGTAGACTTGATTTAATCCCTTCAATTGTTCTTAAATGTGCCCCTGAAATGGTCCCTGTTTGCTCCAAACTATAAAATAGTTGCTTTGCTGCTTCTTACTTTCCAGATTGATGGGAATCCTCCTCTGTTTTTAAGAAATCTGGGAAGCCATCTGATCCTTCGAACTAACAATTTATTGGTTGTTTGCCTATTTTGATAAATTGCTCGAGGCTCTAATCAACTCCAAATTGGTTAAGCATCTAACCTCATAGTCTTCTTTCAGACAAGCAATTGGGCTTTCACTTTTCTAGGTCAACTACAAATTTGCTGATAAGCTTGTGATGTTGCTTTTGATATTTTGAAAGCATTTGACAGGGTTTGGCATGCTGGTCTTCTTCATGAGTTGAAAGGTTATGGTGTTTCTAGACATTTTTTGATTTCATTTAATGAAAATTGTTTTGTATAGCCACTTCTCTAGATCATTTTACATTGTGGAAAATTTAACGACCTCCACCCCCACCTAAACAAAGTCATGGCTTGATGACCAAAGTGAGACAATTGAACATTGTAAAACATATTTTATACAAGAAACACAATACATAATGAGAAAGAGAACAGATGATTGCTAAAAACATATTCTTTTTGTGATTAAAATCCAAAACATTGTAGATAAAATTCAAATACATATCTGTTTGAAATAGATGACACTTATCTGAATGGAGTTTATATTCTGCTTGTATTAGGTGTATTGTTCTCACATTATTAAGGTCAGCTTGTGGCCAGTGTGCCTGTTCTGAGTTGGCTGGAGACACATCTCATTGCTCCACATTCTTCTTGGCATCTGAAGTTGGCACTCGAAATTCTATTTCATGACAAATTTTGGGTCTTCCCCATTATCAGTTTATAATAGACTCTTCTTCTTATCAGCAGGATCCCTCTACCAAAGGGAGATGTCCTATATTTTTTATAACCTTAATGTGGGAATCCTCTAGGGCTCTATTCTAAGACTCACACTGTTCCTTATATTCAGCAATGATCTTCCTGATGTCATCAGTTCCCAACTGGGTATCTATGCAGATACAACTATTTACTCTTGTCTGATATAGTCAATAAAATCAAATTGACAGGTGAACATGAAATGTTGTTAAATGGGCCAAGAAATGGCACTAAAACGAAACTGCACTCTATTAATCATCTTAAAAACCTTTTTTGCCTTCCATCAGCAAGGTTGATGCTAACCTTCAGGAGAGCAATTCACTACACCTTCTTGGTTTCATATACTAACATGAAGTTGGACTTCATATACTAAATTGGTTTCATATACTAACATGAAGTTGAATTTTTTCTTGTGTATTTATAAGTTGACTGTTCATCCATGTATCAAATATTGCTACCATATATCTGTTTGTTATGCAACAACATAAATCAATTTTTTTTAATCTTTTCACCCCAAGCAAAGCAAGAATGCCATTAATATGCAGGGATTTACAGAGAGTGAGAGAAAAGACTGCATATAGCAAGGATTGAGGAATGGATAAAAGATGAACAGGATTCAAGAAGATTACATTTAAATATTTGAAGATTGTAATTATCAGGGAAGCAAGTAAGTGAAAGGGAGTCCCACAGGTGGGAAGTGCAAGAAAAGAAACTGTCACAAATTCAAAGAGAAATCTTAAATCTTATGATTTCTTCAAAAAGTGGCAACTGTACTGATTCTCATTTGATATTCTTCACCATATGTACCAAACATGACTTGATTTATATGGGATCCACAACTGAAAAATTAAACAAAAAATTTATATGTATAAATAATAATAATATATGATATATATAAATATTAATAATTTATATAAATAATAATAATATGATATATATAAATATTAATAATTTATATAAATAATAACAGTAATATATGAGATATATAAATAACAGTAATGTATAATATATATAAAAATAATAAATTTATATATATAAATAACGACAATAATGTATAGTCAAGTCAAGATCTGGAGCTTTGATTATACCACTATCAAAAACTTCCAACGTGGTTAGTGGAAAGAACATTTAAAAATTTCCAGTACCTTTGAAGCCTTGGGGCCTTGGCTCCTACAAAATTGTATTTTTACAGGGTTTTATTTTAGCAAACTATAATAATGAAATAAATACAAGAAAGGAAAATACTATCAAAGCAAGAAGGTACTGGAGATTTTTAAATGTTCTTGCTACTAACCATGTTGGCAACCTTTAATAAATGGAATTAATAATCTATCTATCTAAATCTATTTGTCTCTATCTCTCTATCTGTCTCTATCTATATCTATCTGTCATTATCTCTCTGTCATTATCTCTCTATCTGTCTATCTATGCTATCTGTCATTATCTCTCTATCTGTCTCTATCTATACTATCTGTCATTATCTCTCTATCTGTCTATCTATACTATCTGTCATTATCTCTCTATCTGTCTCTATCTATACTATCTGTCATTATCTCTCTATCTATCTATACTATCTGTCATTATCTCTCTATCTATCTATACTATCTGTCATTATCTCTCTATCTGTCTCTATCTATACTATCTGTCATTATCTCTCTATCTATACTATCT